AAGTCAGCAGAACCAAACGCAGGATTTTATGGTCCTCAGTGGAATTCATTTGTCTATTTGAAAACACTCCGAGTGGTCGAAAGCCCCCTCCCCACACTCGGGCGCCTCTCACTGCTCAGCTTTAAGAGAGAATCTCCTGCCGAGAAGGGAGGATTACTCGTACCTGAGACGCCAAAGGAAGATGACAAGAGGGGACCACCGGGGTCTCCCCCTGCTGTTTCCACCATCACTGCAGGCACACGCTTGTGTGTGCCCTGCTCTGGACAGGCCTGGGCTGGACCCTGCACGCTGTGGTCTCCCTCCTGCACCCGGGTCTGGGTGGACCCGCTCACCTTGGGCGGCTGGCAGGCCCCCCTTTGCTGCGGCCTGGGGCCCTGCCATCAGCACTGCAGCCCCAGGAGAGCGGGGCAGGCGCGGCAGTGGGGCTCAGGGCCGCAGACCATCTGGGAGAAGCCGGCCCCACGCAGAGGAGACCATGCTCCAGGCCACGTGGCAGGACCCGGTGGGGCCGACAAGCTGGCCTTCCGACCCGGGCGCCTCGCGGCTGGTGCCCATCCAGGTTCCACCTGCGCCTGCTACTCAGCAGGAGCGTCACCCAGGGGCCTGAGGGCACCCAGGAGATTCCAACAGCTGGGGGGACTGGCACGTATGGCAGACCAGGGGCTGCCTTCTCACAGGTAGCTTCCTCCTCTTTCCTCTCCCAATGGTCAACAGCAGAACCTCCAGGCTCAGCACACGTGTGCCGACGGCTGGCGACCCGACCGCTACCCAACCACTCATTCGGAGGGGCTCCCATAACAGCCCCCTTTTGACAGTAAAACGTTCTCCATTAGGAGTTTTTGCCTTAAATAGAACCAGTGAACAGGACGGTGGGAATGCGCCCGTCGAGGATCACGGGCTTCCGCTGTTTTCCCAACACGACCGAACACGCGTGAGGCTCCCGGCGTGGCCTACCTCCACCACGGACTTGGAATCCAGCCGGAAGTTGAAATCGCCAAAGACAAAGTAGGACGCTTTCTCGAATCGCTGGTCAATGATTCTGGGAGGAGAGAAGCAGAGGGGGTTACTGAGGCATGACGCCCGCCATGCCCGGCCTCTCCCCAGGCTCCCCACCACGCATTTCCCACTGCCTCCTGCTG